TGGGTTGAGAGCCGGCAAGCCCACACTGCCGCTGCTGTTACGCTTGCTGGAGGTGGGTGCCTTAGCAGCTCTTGAAATACCAAACTGTCCAGAGAGATTGATTTCCTTCCCAGCGCTGGGGCTCGTGCGGCTTTTCTGTCCGTAATCAGCGAGCAGGGCAGCAGAGGAGGTTAGGCTGCCCTGAGTCAGGGAACACGGCGATAACGGGAAGTTTCCACTGAGCTTTTTTAGTTCCAGTACTTGTTCCCTGGCTTGAGTCAAAGCTGCAGTCAGCTCATAGCGTTCCTCACACTCTCTGCGCACCGTCTCCTGGAGAAGAGTGTTCTGCAAACAGAAACAAACACTGGCTTTACAAAATGCCATTAGTCAAAACCTGCCTATTCAGCTCCCAGGCTTAAGGCAGGGGTGGCTGGAGGGTACTGATGCACACAAATCCTTCAATACTTCCCCATATGTTGGTTTCTCTGAAAGTCACCCAAAGGACATACGTCAGCATTTACACACCCTTCATTCCCTCAGGAGACAGTGGAAAACATGAGGTAAGTTATCAGAAGTTACTTCTGATCTCCTGCCCATCCTCCAACTAGGGGGAAACTGGGAATGCTGCTCTTGGAAAGGAAAAAGCAACGTACGGAGGTTGAGTATTACTGCGCCACTTCATTATGATAAGATGTTCAATAAGTTATCCTCCTCTGCAGTTTAAATAATTGTGCACTGATTTGTTGTGACAGCATTCTTTATTGATTATTATTTGCCAAATAATAGGGATAAATGATTTTCAGTCTAGTGGTTTTCACAAACTTTGCACTGTGATTACTGATACCTAAATGGAAAGTAACTGGTACTGGGCCTTGATCAGACAACTGAAACTGTTTCTGTATTACAGAAGACCCCAAGTTAGTATATTATGTACAAGTTACTTGTGATGCTCATTTTCCTGGTTTCCAGCTGAAACAAAAAGTAAATAAAACACAAGGGACAACATCACTAAATTGATTCATAAAAGTCAGAACTACTGAAAGCACTAATACAAGCAGAAAATAGCCACTTTTTTGTTCTTCTAAGCAAGCAATTGTTGCTGACACCAGGAGGTCCATGAGAATGGAAGGGAAGCAAGCACCAAGGCAGTCTCCAACACAGAGAGTGATGATCGAGTCCAACAGAGAACACTCTCAGTCATGCACGACCTCACTGCCTGGACACAAACATTTCTATATAAACCTCTCTAATGCTAGAAGTATGAGCTGTATGCCGGGTCAGATCACATATCACCTTGAAGTGATATTCTCTATGTGATTATGACAGTGGGTGTATATACAGGGAAGAAAGTATGTAAGAAAGATAATCTCAATAGCACTTTTTTGATGTTTTGAAGAGCAAATACTGGTGTCAGTAAAGTCAGAGCACAGAACTGTGTTCCTGCTAAAGTGGAAAGTGGTAAGCTCTGTTTAGCCAAGAAGAGGCTACCAAAAAATGACAGAGAAATGAAAAGTCCTTTGTTGACCAAGTTTTTAGATTTTAACATTTTACTTTGGTCAAAGCATCTGTAGCAGATGTAGAGTGGAAACAGAAGTTCTGCTCAGGCTGTCTAACCTCTGTGCCGACTGCAAGTGAAGGAACATAACTACATGCAGAGGTAGAAGTGGGAGAGAGGTAAATATCCAGAATAACTTATTCTCTGAATACCTAACTCTGCAGACAACTTAATGAAAGAAAGTTAGATGTTACTTTCCCTGCCACTCAGATGGCACGTGATCGTCAGTGCCTATTCAGCTCCCAGGCTTAAGGCAGGGGTGGCTGGAGGGTACTGATGCACACAAATCCTTCAATACTTCCCCATATGTTGGTTTCTCTGAAAGTCACCCAAAGGACATACGTCAGCATTTACACACCCTTCATTCCCTCAGGAGACAGTGGAAAACATGAGGTAAGTTATCAGAAGTTACTTCTGATCTCCTGCCCATCCTCCAACTAGGGGGAAACTGGGAATGCTGCTCTTGGAAAGGAAAAAGCAACGTACGGAGGTTGAGTATTACTGCGCCACTTCATTATGATAAGATGTTCAATAAGTTATCCTCCTCTGCAGTTTAAATAATTGTGCACTGATTTGTTGTGACAGCATTCTTTATTGATTATTATTTGCCAAATAATAGGGATAAATGATTTTCAGTCTAGTGGTTTTCACAAACTTTGCACTGTGATTACTGATACCTAAATGGAAAGTAACTGGTACTGGGCCTTGATCAGACAACTGAAACTGTTTCTGTATTACAGAAGACCCCAAGTTAGTATATTATGTACAAGTTACTTGTGATGCTCATTTTCCTGGTTTCCAGCTGAAACAAAAAGTAAATAAAACACAAGGGACAACATCACTAAATTGATTCATAAAAGTCAGAACTACTGAAAGCACTAATACAAGCAGAAAATAGCCACTTTTTTGTTCTTCTAAGCAAGCAATTGTTGCTGACACCAGGAGGTCCATGAGAATGGAAGGGAAGCAAGCACCAAGGCAGTCTCCAACACAGAGAGTGATGATCGAGTCCAACAGAGAACACTCTCAGTCATGCACGACCTCACTGCCTGGACACAAACATTTCTATATAAACCTCTCTAATGCTAGAAGTATGAGCTGTATGCCGGGTCAGATCACATATCACCTTGAAGTGATATTCTCTATGTGATTATGACAGTGGGTGTATACAGGGAAGAAAGTATGTAAGAAAGATAATCTCAATAGCACTTTTTTGATGTTTTGAAGAGCAAATACTGGTGTCAGTAAAGTCAGAGCACAGAACTGTGTTCCTGCTAAAGTGGAAAGTGGTAAGCTCTGTTTAGCCAAGAAGAGGCTACCAAAAAATGACAGAGAAATGAAAAGTCCTTTGTTGACCAAGTTTTTAGATTTTAACATTTTACTTTGGTCAAAGCATCTGTAGCAGATGTAGAGTGGAAACACAGAAGTTCTGCTCAGGCTGTCTAACCTCTGTGCCGACTGCAAGTGAAGGAACATAACTACATGCAGAGGTAGAAGTGGGAGAGAGGTAAATATCCAGAATAACTTATTCTCTGAATACCTAACTCTGCAGACAACTTAATGAAAGAAAGTTAGATGTTACTTTCCCTGCCACTCAGATGGTCACTGATAGTCCATGAAATTATTTGGGAAGTGTTACCTGCAAATCTGATCCTGGTGCAAAGTTTATCTTAAAACCAGTTTCAATTTTCAACCACTCTTATCTCCCCATTTCCTAATATAATTATATTAGGGGAGGAACTCTGCTTCAGAGTGGGGAAAACTAAGAACATAAGCAGAGCTGGTGGAATCTCACAATTGAGGATACCAGTGTGTTCCTTACTCTGCTGAAGGTCCTGACCAATACTTGAAGAGTGTGTGTCTTTCCAAGAGCTTTTTCCATCGGTACAGGACAGAACGACTGCCAATATCATTCTAATTTCACTAACACAGTGTTTCTGAATCTTTTTCAAGGAAGAAATAAACATCAACCCAAGCCCTAGTTCATTTTGAAGAGTTTTATTTTCAGTGTTTACGAACTTTTTTCTGCCACTTAATGACTTTGGACATTCCAGTCTAATCTTATCTACAGTCCCCGACTTTACTGCTCTGTGAGAAATGTGAAAACAGTGCCACTCTCTCTCCTCCCTTCCCATTATATTCCAAACATTCAGCAAAGGCTTGTCGTAAGAATATCCATCAGTCAAATTTCTCTTCACATTTGATTAATTTTTATGCATTTGTGTTTACAGAAAGTGGATTTACTGGTGGGAGGTGGGATACATCCCCATTAGCATGGCAGGATGCACACACATACTCCCACATTAAAAGATGCAATCTCTGCCCCAGAAGCCATTCAGAACAGGACTGTGCCCACTCCCATTCCTATTGACAGTATGAAGTTTTTGCTTACAAATGATTTCCAAAATAAGTAAGATTACTGGGAGGATTGCTGCTGTCTGGTTCAAAGAATGATAAATATCCATGTCTTCTACTTTAAAAACATGAAGAATGCTTTATTGTTTACTCATGTTTATGTAGCACGATGTGAAGCTAGAGACTAAGAAATAAATGTCTTGCAGGACCCGAAAAATATATATATTTTTAAAATAAAACACTAGTTTAAGTGCTTGCTGAATTTAAAATTTCTCATATTTTGTGATATGTTGTATTTATGAAATTATGACAGACTTGTTTTATAAATCTTTTCATTTCAATGGTTTTTATACCAGTACATAACAGGGTCTGAAATATAGATGCTTTGAATGATTTTAGAAATCACGTGTCTCTAAGTAAAAATAGCAAGGCGTTTCCTAGGTCATGTTCCTACCTCCTTTTGAACTTGACTCAAATTGTGAATCAGCTGTGTCCTCTCCTGGGTTAATTTTTCCAGTTCATCTGACTTGTGTTTAATTTCTTTCCTCATATTATCCAGGAATGATTCATTATTGTTCTTTTCCATCATCAGCTGAAATTCAAGTTCAGTAACTAGTCTTTTAAGGCTCTGAATTTCTTTTTCCTTATCTTCATCTTTCTCTGCAAGTTTGATCTGGGCATCTTGTAGCTTCTTTTCAAGGATTTCTGTCTCCATCCTTAAGCTATTGGTGGCACTGGATATTAATCCTGGTATCTGCATTAGATTAGACAAAAATTGCATTAGTCTACATTCAGTGGATGTCTTTAGATAGATATGTAGAATTAAGTACCAGACAAATGTTGACTTCAGGAAAAAAAATACAAATGCAAACATACATGTCCTCAGAGACAAAAAAAAATGCTTTGAATTTACATAATACCCTCAAAGGATATCAGAGAGCTGTAAATTGATCAAAACTCACTCAGAAGAGATTAATTAGTATGTCCAAGATGAAACAGAGAAATACAGGTAAAAATGGGAAAAATTAACTTCTTTACAGCAAGCCAGTATTTCTTCAGGGTTTTAAAATCATAGTCAAATATTTCTAAAGTGAACTAAGTCAAACTGTTATTTTCAGCTCTTTAAAACACTGTGTAATGTAACGAATTTTAAATAACAATACAATTTCATCAAATTTCTTTGATTTTTCCAGATTCTCAACAAATGTGTCAAATCTTTTGAAAACTAAGGTTATAGGTACAATTTTCAATTTCCATATAAAACTTCAAAAACTGTAGGGCTGGGTAGCTGGGAATAGCCAACTGTGTGTGGTGCAACCACCAATACAGACAAGAAAGAGTTAACTGCCCACTGGACCTTACCTCATCTGTGCTGAATTAATTTGGGAAGGGAACGAACAGTGTGGATGGTTTTGTGACAACTTGTCATAGTCTGAAACAGTCCAAAGCTTTAAAAAAAATGATGATGTCCATTTAAAAATAATTAACAACTACAGTCTATGGACATAGATGAACTCTGAGTAGAGAAAATGTGAGAAAAGGAAGAACTTCCACACCATTTAACTTTAACTAGAATAGTTACTTTTTATACTGTTCCATTAAATAATAAAAAAAACACAACCCCGAAACATATGCCATGTACTAAGACAGGGGAAAAAATATTGTATCATCTAGATACAGGACTACACATAAAGAAGGTTTTATTCCTTCACATACTATTTCTCAGAAGTTTACATTATCTGCTGCCACAAAACTTTTCTCTTGAGTGTTACACACCTTCTTCTGGAGCTCTTCATGATCTCTCTGATATTTTGTGATTAGTTCTTGCTGTTTTTGTCTTTCAATGTCTAGTTCCACTCTCGCTTCTTCCTTGACTTTAAGAATTGCTTCTTTGTGTCGTGCTTCACCTTTAGCCAGATCAATTTCCATCTAGGGAGCAAGTGTTTTTTAACGATATGTAGCAACTTATCTTAAAATATTTTTCACATTCCACACTGCCATAAATGAAGTGATGTGAAATTTGGCAGACTGAGACTTTGCACGCTGAACAAACACAAAATGATTGCAACCATTGGAGCCTGGCGAGGGAAAGCTCCCGCTTCCCGCTGGCTCACAGCGGCATGGACGGCTCCTGCTCCGCAAAGCATCAGGGCTGAGTCACACCCTGCAGCCCCTGGAAGACGTCTCACAAGCCCCATGGTGTCTCAAGTGGTGCTAGATGCCTAAATTTAGGCAGCTGAACTTCACTCTAAATCACTATGAAAACGCTAAATCACAAAATCCTTAGCCGGTTCTTAAAACAGATGATTCTTTTGCTGGAAGCATTTGCTCTGGAGGTAAAAATCAGCTCGTTATTATTTTCAAATGCAGCAAAATGATATGTTTCATAGCAAATGACATCTACCGTGCTAAAAATAGGCCATAAGCTCAATATTAAAATATAAAGATGTTAACTCTTTCTTATAAAATCATTTTTTATTCATGCTCTGCCACTCAGCCTTGTCAGCGAATAGCAACTTAACATATAAAATGTTTGTCTGTCTGCTCCCAGGGACCACACTCAGATGACTCATACTCCACGCGTGCTATCTTGCAATTCAGAAGTGCAGTGCACGTTAGCACCACATATCTATTTTATCACGTGTCCCCCTTCTCCTAAATCTGTTGTAAACACCAGAAATCTAGGGGAAGGAGCATATAGAGGAACCTCCACAGAACCTCTCAGCAAGGCATCAGCGGGATGCCTGCCTCTCCAAGCATCGCCCGGTGCCAACGGCACGCGGCCGCTGTGCTGGCCCCATCGCCAAGTCGAGGTTAGAGGGAGCAGCGAGGCTCCAAGGCTCAAGGACAGCAAGGAGCAGCTCCAGCTCGCTTTAGGGCCCAGACAACACTGCGCTGGTGGCATGTATGTGGGACAAGCTCTGGACAAAAAAAGTGGAGAAACGGAAGTGAGAGAGTTGCAAATTCTGGGTAAAATATCCAAGTCCTTAAGGCATCTCACATATTTAATATTATAAATTCAAATTTGAAAATTTAGCTATCATTTCCTGAGAATAAAAGCCTGGATTCTGGAGGAAATACCGAAGGCTGTATTTTGAAAAATATTTTTCCTAAACCAGTATGCTAATATTATATTTCCGCAGGCTGAATTCTAAGGGACTTAATTGTAGCACGCTGAAGAATATAAAAGGCATATTAAACATGCACAACACTAGCCTAATTACTTAAAATTATTAAAAGCAGAAAAGCCCAGAATGAGCTTAATTATAATTATCTAATTTCACACACTAATTATGAGCAAAAGTATAACAAATCCTCCTAACTCTTTTTGGGGAAAAGATAAACTGGAAATATTTTCATTATTTTTAAAATCAAAATATATCCAATTCTGGGCATGGAATAGGCAAATATCCCCCACTAAGATTTAGCTTAAAACTGGATATTTGTAAGATCCTCAAAGTAGACTATTATTATTATTATTATAGATATATCTTCTATATTATTAGATATGGGAGTTAGGATTCTTATAATAGAAAAACAAATTTATTAACTCTACATATTATTACAGAAGACAATCATATGTTGGAGGCTACTTGATTACAAAGACTAAAAAAATGAGGGCACTATAAAAACCTGAGCTCTTTTTGAAGATTATACAAGCATTTTTCACATTTAACACTTGAAGCTGATAAAGCTGATAACCAGAACTGGAAATAAAATGGCAGTTGATCTTCAAAGAAAGCATAACGGCTACTAATTGCTTTAAAACTACTTACATGCCCCTCATTAATTAATATTTTTTAAAAATCCATAAAACAAATGTTTACATCAATCTTAAAATCTTTTGTAAAAGAAATTTTTTTTTGTTCCATTAAAACAATTTAAGGTTTATCTGTATTTTAAATAGAAAACTGGAACACTTTATACTTATGCAATGGCACACTGACCCAAGAAAAAGATAACTTTGTCACTTTGTCACATTTCTGATTCTTTTGTCTGATGAGAACGTTTTTAGAGCACTTGATGTTCACTGCATTTTAATGGCTGTGATACCAACGCTGTAATTGCTCCCTCTTACTAGCAGCAGTCTTTATCTTCTTTTAATGTCAGGTTGAACAATACATTGTGATTATGCAGACAGTGTGACCTCGTTCTAAAATTATATCCTGCGACAGAGAGGTTAAGAAGTTTTAAAAGAAATGTAACTGATCTTAATTGCTAGTAGTCCAAAAATTTTCCTGAGACTAAATAAAGCTTTCAGACACTTACCACATACTGAACCAAAAAAGAAAAAGACAGTAATTTTAGTCACCAATTATGTAAGGCTTAAATCAGAAAAGTCAGAGTTATTGCTCAACACTATTTTCAATTTTTCCTTCACAGATTTTTTTTTTTAATTTTATATTCAGTTTGGGGATTTTTTTGGTGCAAATGTGAAAAAGTTGCAGATTAAACCAAAGTTTACATGCTCACAGTTGTTTATGGTAAACAGGTTTCCAAATCCCACTGGAAGAGACTGGCAGCTGGACTCTCCAATCCCAGTTAGAGTCTCCAGCTCAGAACTTCATAGCATGACCCAAAACTACAAGAAAAAAAAGTGATCTGTCCCGCAGAGCAGAGCCAAAGGTCCCAATTCCTGAGATCACTGTTACACAGTGAGGCTGCTCAAAGCCCAGTATAAATGAGGAGCTGTAGCATTGCCACATTCCAACCAGCTGTGCAATTATCTAAGAAACCCATCCAATTAGCACATACAGTGGGCATACACTTTTATTTTTTTAAATCAGCTGAAAGTATTTTTCCACAGAAGACCCCAAACCCAAATACATACTAAAAGATGACTAACAAGTTATAACCTAACTTTGTAGAATGTAGTAATACCCGTTAAAGATGCAGCTAGCGGTGGGAAACCCTTCTAACAAGAAAACGCACGTTAACAGGAGTTTATGCTTGCGGAACAGGCCTGTGCAATGCGTACAGCACTGGCATGGCTGTGGCGAGGTGCTTTGAGGGTGGGTGCGCAGCTGGGTGTGCTGCCCTGCGTCTGAGCAATTTTCATAATGTTGCACCCTACATCCATGGACCAGGACTAGACCTAAGCTCTTTCCCACTCTGTTCCCCAACCAAGCCAGTTACCCCCTGAATTCGGGGTGTCCTCCTGGCTGTATTTCAACTGTCCTTCTCATCTGTAGCCTTTACTTAATTTCTTTTTTCCTTCACTCCATTAAATAAAGGAAAAATGGGCATGTATAAAGGAGCATGCATGTATGGAAGGTGTATCATTCTCCCTCCCACCTTCCCCTTCCTCCTCACTGTGAAAGGAACCATCGTCCAATTACCAAAAGAGCCTGGGTGGTAAGGTATATGAAAGTGGCTTTGCAGGCTTTTGTAAGAGAATGAATAAAATAACAAAGGATGGGCCATTTCACGGAGAAGCCAAGCCGTAGGACTGTCAAGTCTTTTCAGATGAAATACAGAGGTGTTTTCACAGTAAATTTCACTGAAGTCTTTATTTTCATACTACTCTGATTTGAAGGGAAGGCAAGTAAAAAAACCAGCAGAGTCATTAGCAGGAGCCTATTTGGCAGAGATGCGACTGCCTGAAAGGAACCGGTGATGCTAGAGGTCAGCAGCAAGGTAACTTGCCTTTCGCACCCCAGCGGTCCACTCTAGCTCCAGGACTTTCACTGTGCAACTTGTTTACCTCTTTTTTATTGTGAGGACCCCCAGCTCAAGTGAATGGACGAGCCACATACCTTCTTTCTGCTACCACATCTCCCTTCCCAATTCCCCAGTCTAACCAGGCTCCTCCACCTACCCACTGCGCCCTCTCCCCTAGCCCCCCGTTGCAGCTGGCAGCCAGCACTACCTACCTTCCGCTGAGGTTCCCATGCTGTAATTAGTTGCACGCTCACCAAGCCAATACCCATCTCCCACTGAGCTGTCTGCTCAGCCTGTGGGCACGCAGAGCCTGCCAGGTCAGGCAGAACAAGGTGCCTCTCAACCACTCAGCAGGGAGACTGCTTGGAGGGGCACAGTAACCCAACTCCAGGTTGCACAACCTTCCCTGCGCCCCCAGGGCAAAATCAATGCTTGTTCCAAGTACTTCAGATCTTGAGCTAGATGACACTGCTAATTTGGGGGTGTCATTTTCCTCTCCATGCATGTGGGGACTTGTCCTGACACCAGTGGGAACTGCGGGTTCATATAGAAACAACAACAAATTTCATGTTCACAGAGGACTTGGAAAGGATAAAACTGTCATGTTATCTCTTCACTTGCCTATTGCCATGAGTGACAGAATCATCCCAGCGATGGCATGAACACGTATCCTGCATTCATAGCTGCCGTAAGTACCAGGCAGGGTATCCATACACCTCTCGCCCTCCTCGTCAGCTGTACGGCTAACAGCTCTGCTGCCTTTTGCTATTTGACAACTCCTGATAGCTCCAGAATCACTATGCTACAACAGCTTGTTTGTTTAGCTCTGCTTTGGTTTGCAAATACCTGCCTTCTGAGAAAAGGACATTTTTGCTCATCTGCTTATTTTATAGATTTGTTTTACAAATAGCAATCTTCAGTTTCAGTTCATCTAACCTGCAAGCAGGAAGGCTCTGTGTTCTCTCCATCTTGTCAACAATGCACAACCTTGTTTTTACCGGGAAACTACTTCAATACTAAATATATGCTTTCCTATGCTTCTCTGCCAGATGTGTCAGGAAGCAAATCCAGGCACTGATGCACTCCCCCATGCAGAAGTGTGGTCCACTTGGATGTTGCACACAGAACAGGGTGGGCTCTGTATGTTCACCTCCTTGGAGCTTGTGTAGGACAATGGCCTGTGAGACTGGGCTTTTCCTGCTGTACCCCCTCCTGCAGAGCACACGGGGAAAGCACGGAGCTTGGAAGATCAGAGGTTCAGTGGGCTCAGTCCTGCTCCTCACACCCGGGCTTTCAGGGGACTGCACTCCTAACACAGGCACTTTGCAAATACACTGAAACGTGGGAAGTCCAGATCAAACCTGAACGTCTGCCAAGTCTGTAAACCTTCATACTAAATACCTTCTGCATTCAGTTCCAACCCACATAGACAGATCGCCCATTAAAACCTCTTGTACAAAGAATATTATTGACTTGTTTGCACTTGAGGAGATAGGTATCTGGCTTACTGTACTCATTCGTGACAGCTGACTACAACTGAAAAAAATAAAGAAAAAATCAAAAGGGTGCCAATTGCACATCCAGTATTACCTTCTCCCTCCAGTTATCTTCATTCCGCATCTTCTGTCTTAATGTTTCCTGCAGCTGCTCTGTTCTATTCTGATGAGAAATCAGCATTAACTCCCTAGAAAACACAAAAACTCATATGTAAATATGTGCTCTGCCCAGATTGGTGGTATGCCATTTTCTTGCAATTAAGTCCTTTGTGGCAAAGGCTCGTCTTTTCCTCTTTGTTTAGTATTCTGTGCAATAAGCCCAGCAATCCTGCCTGGAGCCCAGAGGCACAGTAGTAATCTCTATTTAGCATTTGCATAATGCCATCACACGCTTTATGAATTTTATGTTTTAAAGAAAATGCTATAGTTGATCTTTCTTCCACACACATTTAAACCTCAAATATTTTTAATCTTTCTCAAGTCAAATTTTGAAGAACACTGAAAAACTGTTAAAGTATTCAAAACAGAAATTGTTTTATTTAATGAACTCAGAATATTACTATCATTAATTAAAAAATTGTAATAGGTTTTGAATTAAAACCACCGAGTGCTTTCTATTGTTAGAGTTACTGTTTGTTATGTGAGGCTTATAAAGCAAAAGCCCTGGAGAGTTTAAATTCTTGTAACTTAGCTTATTAGCAATGTACCACCTGGAACAACTCATGTATCTGGGGTTTAAGTAGAAGGGAAATATTCTTAAATTAACATGTAATATCTTTTCATGCAAGTACTAAAGTACAGGGAATATTCAAACCCTTTAAATATGAAAACAGCTTAATGCCTCTTGGTGTACATCACTCAAAAAATGCTTATCTTCTCCAAAAGCCAATTCTCTGAATAAATTTTCCATTGTTCACAAGTCAAACCAATAACATATTGCCATGTCTTAAGTAGGGGACAGCATTTCTATTTTGCCAATAAAAGACAAGCTAATTTACCAGTAACTGAAATTTTACTGGCAGGAAGCTGCCCATACACTTCACCAAATACTAGACCATATCCAATAACCTGGCATATTGTAATATTTATAGCATTGTTACAGTTTGCAAGTTGCTAATAATGTAAGTTACAAGAATTTAAACTCTCCAGGGCTTTTGCTCTACAAGCCTCACATAAGAAATAGCAGCTATAACAACTGCAATAAATGGGTGTTTTGATTAAGATTGAGCTGAAGCCCTGGACTGCAAAGCAATGATTTTTTTCTTATCTTTTTTTTTTTTAATAGTTTTTTTTTCTTTTTCATTCAAGTTTTGTCTATACTGTAATAATTTAAAAAATCCATCCAATGAATTCTAAAATTTCAGGATATGAGCTCAGGGCTGCCAAGGCTTTTAGAGTTTTGCCCTAAAAGCAGGAGATGAGAGGGGGCAGTGGCAGGGCAGGACTGTCCTGAGCGCACAGGCAAGGCAGCGACTTCAGAACACACAGCTGGGACTAGTAGGTCTCTCCCAATCTGCCCAGTGCCATAGCCACACTCCTCGTTCTGCCGCTTCTCCTCCCGCATCCCAGCTGGCACAAACTACCTCTAGTGCTTTACAGAATCTATCTGTCCTTTTGGTAACAGTGAGAGAGGTTGAGGATCTGGGAGAGGAGGAATGTTTTATTTTTAATAGATTTCAAAAAAAGACAATCTAGGCTGAACGTGCAGTCACAGGAGATTACCCACCGTGACTCAGCTCCGATTACCTTTCTTGTTTCAACATCACCACCTCTTCCTCTGTTTGCCTAAGAAGAGCTTTAAGTGTTTCCAGCTCACTTTCTGATCGACCGGTTCGTCTTTTTAGATCTTCTTCTTTCCTTTCTCTCTCAGCCACCTCTTCCTGTAAATGTTTGCATACTTGTTGGCAAATTAGAAGAGAGTCCTCCTTTTCCTTGAGCTCTTTTGTAAGTCTATAGATGAAGTAAAAAAGTATCAGCACGGTAGTTACTATATTCTTATTTACAGACAGATACTAAATAGAGAGAAATTATGTGTACCTGGAAAATAAAATATTAGACAAAAAGCTATATATTCTTTATGAAGTTAAATCTAGTGACGTGAACACAAAAATAGAAACTAAAACCAGAAAAAAATTATTGTATAAAAGCTGCATTAAAATAATAAAATAAATTTTTTGCTCTCACTGCTTAGAAATCTATATGTTACGACATAATTTCAGCATTTACCTTGACTCAGAAATTCCATTTTCATATTTCATTTTTTTCAGTTCATTTTGACAGACATCAAGTTCTGCTGATTTCACCCTAAGAAAAACATTTAAAGAAATGTGTATTTGTCCAAAGAAATGATAGCCTTTACTCAGGCAGTAACCTGAACATCGGGTTTATTGACATATTATCTAACTTGCATTTTCTGCATAGTTAAAAGGCAGACAACAAAAAGTTCTGCTAGTTCTAGCTAACATTTTTAAGTAATTGGAAGTTACACTTCCAACATAATCTCAGCCTAACCTAGGATCACAAGTTTAATGTTGTGAACAAGAAAGTGAGATCTTGCAACACTGATAAAAGTTTCAAGTAAGATATGAATAAAAATGAACAAATAACAGTTTAGTAGGTAAGAGGGCTGGAAACTTTACAGGTTTCTTGTCATTATGTCATCATTTCACCAATTAATAACCATGGCTAAGCTTTGTATTTACATTTAAACAGATATAGAATATGTTGTTTTATTAAATTGTACCTATATTACATTGAAATTTTAATATTACATTTGGAAACCTTTTACTGTTTATTTAACTGTGCTCATGAAATCTGTTTTTCATACTCAATACTTGTATTATCATTAAAATACTTTGTTGCTAAGCATTCCAAATATTTGTAACTTCGTTATGATCAGACCCTGTGAATATAGGAACCAAAACCAGAAAGTACACGTCATGAAAGAATGAATCCTTGTTTAAATTTCAGGAAAACATACAAAAACCCCAATGATAGCTGGTCTCAGGATTGGCAGTACTAGTTCATTAGTCTTGAGCTTAATATTTGAAACAGTAATTTTTATTTTCAGTAGTGAATTATAAAGTGTTGTAAAGTGAATTATAAAGTGCTGCTGTTTCTGAATTATTTTCTACACTATACGCAAGCGATGAGGATTTTAAATACAGGAAAGCATTCAGATCCCGGATCCCGCAACTTTTAGAGGTGACGACACAGGTCCCACTGAGCACCGCAGCATCTGGACAGGACCCTGGAGGTCGCCTCACACAATTTTGGGTGCCCGATACAGCTCCCACAAAAGTCAATGGAGGGCAGCCTCGGGGCACGGGGAATGTGGCAACTCCACTGCACGGCCCTTGCTTGGCCATTGAAACATTAACTCAGGAGAACAGTGTGCAATAGCACAACAACATTTAAGAAGAGGTGCATCTTTTTTCTTAATTCCTCAAGTTTTGATAGAGGACTCATTTCTCTTCTCCCCTTAATCCGTGGGCTGCAGCAGCAGCATCTGAAAGCAGGACTGAGCAGAGCAGCGCCCAGGGCCGGGCAGGCACTCCTGCGGGCACCACTCTTTTGGGTGGGCTGGAGACGGAGCAAGCCGAGTTTTTCATTCTGTGTGAGTGCTCTCTTTTCAGGCATCGTGCTTCAGTTAGCTCCAACAAGTATTTGATAACATTCTATTTTTGCTCTATTAATTTAGGTTTTGCATAATCTTACTTGAAACCATAGGCACAACACAGTAACATTACAAACCGCAACAGCATACTGGTGCATGGGGAAAAGTCATGGGAAATTTACACTGGGGGGGGCAGGAGGGAGGCGAATAAAAAAAGAAATCCTAGTCACTGATTAAATGCTAAAGTTTCTCATTAGTTTTATTGCACCCTTCCCTCCATCCCAAACCTACAATGTGAAATACTACTTTCCACATACATTTTTAGTCCAGAAGTTATGTGGATTTCACAAAATTTATCCTACAGTTGTGTGTTAAATGAAATGTCAGATTGAGCTGACTTAACCCTCCTCTTTGCTGTATCATTAAACACAGCTGGAAGAAGAAAGCCCTGCTTCCACAGACAGACATGCTCAGGTGGTTAGAAATACAGACTGTTTAATATGAAGATAAAATATTTTCTCTGTTGGTCATAACCTTCTCAAATCATCATGACAAGCAGCACTCTCTGAAAAAAAGTGGTCTGTTACAGCTTTATGCGCAGTGGCAAAACAATCAAGCAAACAGAAATCTTACATTAACAGCTTTTTGTAGTGCTCCATCTCAGCTGTTACTTTCTGCAGCTTCAGTCCAATTGTCTCTACTCGATTTGTTAAATCTGAAAACAAAAACATGGGTTTCATGTCTGTATTTATACTAAAAATAATTCACTTTTATACCTATTGTGTTTTATTTGCATCTCGGACATGTAGCTCCTCACTCCCACCTCAAACAGGCAAAGCAGTACATCACAGCACTGCCTCTGAACAACGCAAAATGACCATCTGAAAAGTACAGGTTTATGATTTGTAATATTTGAATTGATTTCTCACTGCTTACAAACCACATAAGCCAGTTGTTTATATTTTCTTAAGAATAACAAATTACTTTTATTGAAGTTTGGAATGCTGTTGCACCACTGTACACTTCAGAACAGTCTTCCAATTTCTATTCATACACTAGCAGAGACTGGCTTTATAGCAAGCTGTTTTTTGTTTGTTTGGGTTTTTTTATCCTACCAGGAAACATCAAATTCAACTACATGTAAATATGAAATGCTTTAAATCATACAGTTTGTACATAACACTGAGAGCAAAAGCATGCAGGAAGGCGGACCTAAAAATAACCTGCTAATGCTACTTCATGTAAAACATTGACACTGACTTAATGGGACTATACATTTTGTCTTAGACTCTCTTAGCTAAATGTTATCTTTCAGAACCCATCACCTATCAGTTTCAATCAGCCATTGCCTTTTTTCGTTATATATCCCACTTCTTTTCATCTGCACAACTAGTTTAATTATCCTTTTTTTTTCCCACTTGGGAAAAAACCTTCCAAGGAAAATACTGAGCAAAGAAAAAAGAACTGTTAAATATCACTCCTCTGCACAGTCTCATGTAAATGAAAAAGTGACAAATTTACTCCCAGCAGACCATGTAACACTTTTGGTTTATTAGCTTTCAACCCTCTGCGTAAGCCGGGTCTCTTCAAACATGGCTTTGCAGGACAGACGGCCGTCAGTTTGCAGTTGCAGCACAGCACCCAAGCATTTTGTTGCACGCAGGTAACAAGCACGTGCTGTGCAAAAATACAGGCTGGTGAGAACAGAACAAACATTCTCACCATTTGCAACTAAAACTGCTTGCTTGCTTACAGGTGCAAACTGATTTTAAAAGCTTACTTAAAATCCCTTAGTGACATGTATTAGACCATTTTATCTCAAAGAACATACTAACAAATAATTTAAACTTCTTGACCTTCTCAAAGTTATATATCAAAGAAACCTCATCTAGTTTTGTGTGTGGCCTAATGTTATTAATTTTTTAAAAGAGAAATCCTAAGCATAGTCATAACTTCAAGATTTGAAGCCCTATAAAGTGACATAACAGCACATACCTTAATCTGATTCTCATCTTAATGAACATATCTAAATAAACTCATGAACAAGGAGAGCTGGCTTTCAAGAAAACCTAAGAATGACCAGAAATCAAAGTTGTCTCTACAAAAAAGGCAGCATCATAAACTACATGGAAAAAAAATGTATGATAGAATATTGCAACAAATCTAGAAGTGGAAGAAAAAACAAGATTGTCCCTCAAAATGCAACAGCAAACTGGATGAGCCGACTTCCTCTCCGAAGGTTAACAGCTACAAAGAGAGTCCAACCTCTCCACCTTCAAAGCTCTCTGATATATGCTCCAAGAAGTCAAATCTAACTGTGATTCCTGTTCTTACATTTATCATTTGTGACATCAGAATTCACTGAATTTTTGTAACTTTTCCTACATGCCTATTTCAGTCATTTCCAGCCACTATCATGATGCTGGATAATCCCGGAGTGTGATTTCCTGCTAGCAATCCCCCACGTCACACCTTATCTTGCTAAATCCTACTACATGAGAGAGTCCCATAGTTTCAATAAAGGAAAAGGGAAAGCCATTCATTATCTCAGACTACAACAAAAAAATCAGGGAGAGAATTATATACGGTAAAGTACACACTACCTGTCAGATACATTCCCAAACTATCAGCATTTATAAAGAGCTTTTTTAAGAGAAAGTTAAAATTTCTTTGGGCTTGACTAAGCCCTTGCAAAAGTCAGTGGAAGTTAATTATAGAAGCACTTCCTACACCACCAGCCACAGACATCAAAACAGATAAAATATGTTTTTGTATAAGATACCATTGCCATTGTGTTTCTACATTTCAGACACAAAAATATTAATGCAGTCCTGCTGCATTCATTTTTGCAATTGTTTAGAGACATTGCCAGGTCACTAATCCTTTAACATTGGAACAGCTTCTACTCCGATTCACATCAGTCAGGGTCCACATAATTAAATGAGCAAACAGAAGAGTGTAAGTAGATATTCAAGAAAAAAAGCCTTTTAATTAATGAGAATGGATTCACACAAAGCGTTGCTCATTACAAGCCCTGATTGACAGAAGCGAATGGACCTGGACATTACAGATCCTCCTGGAGTTAATCTGTTCATTTTTTTAGTGCACAGGGGATGCTGATAGCACTCTTTGCTGTGCACGTACTGGGCTGCCTCAGATTAATGTCACCCAAGTTTATTTTTTGCCTCCTTGAAACAGTTCAACCTATTCCACAAAACATGAGACATCACAGAAAACACAATTTTTGAACAGGTTGAGAAGAACAGTATTGCTGGGAAAAAGTAAAAAGTATGTTTAATCACCATGTATAGTTTATATCGGTATCACACTGAAAAATAGTGTGTGTATATATACACATACACGTATAAAATTATACATATAGTAAGAAATCAACAGTGTTCCATGAGAACTGACAATTAGAGGGAAGGTCTAAAATTATTTACTTCCAGACATTATTTTTCTTATTTTTCCAATGCTTTTGCAGGGTATTAATGCATAAAATGTTAAATTGCCAAATTATATTGAAAAATGGCAAATGGCAATTCACATGGAATTTTTCCTGTCCCGGATTTGGAAATCCAAGAGTCCATAATGATATGCCGCTCTTTAAAAAAAACAACCCAATATTCTTGAGATTATGCAAGTAATTTATCTCATCTGGAAATATAGGTGAAAGCTCTGAGAGAAAAACTCAGACTGAAATGCTTTCCAATGGGAAAAGCAGCCCCTTTCAGCACGGCCAGGGCTGCAGTGGGAAGCACAGCAAACCCTCTCCAGCCTGGAGAGCAGATTTTTTTCTTTCTTCCCCTCAAAGGCTCCGCTTCATCATTTGCATTCTGCACTCTATTTTCCATTCCAGGGACGATTATATCTGAAGTAGTCTATTTTCTCATGTCGCTTTCCAGGTCTCCAACAATACCAACTTTTTATAGACCAAATTTTCTGTCTCTTTTACCCCAAAGTATAGCACGTGATGCTTTATAAATAAGTCACCACTATGGCAAAGGAACGCAGCTGTGAATGGAGCAGCCAAATGTATGCAAAAATTCACTTCATTTTGAAAACATACTGTAAATTTCCTCCAATTGCTTTTCCCCTAAAGAGTATGGGATTTTTAGTCCCTATTTAAGAGTTTTGCCTATCACTGGGTGACTGATTGTCCTCAAAAAATAATTCAGAATCAGAAAAGCCTGCTGTTTAAATAAAAATATGTCCTTAATCACTGGCCAGACAAAAACACAAGCTTACTTTTATTTTTGCCAATTTTATGGATGTGCCAATACGCCTGCATTAACCAGCAGAACACCACAAACCCCCAAACCCTTCTCACTGACACTACTGAAGAAGTGATGCACAGATGACACTAAGATCATTTCTCGGAAGACTCTTAAAAAGAAAAAGACACTTTGAAAACAAAACTTCCTATAGTAGCAGCACAGTGGTATCATCTCTAAAATGATTTTACAATTTATAACTGTACTTTTTCATAAAGTGCTGCTAATGAGGGTGGAGGAGAAGGGAGCCACAGTAATGACCGGGCGCTGTCAGGCTGTCTGCGTGTTTGCTCAGACCGGGAAAGCTGGAGGTTGCTCAGGAACCCCTTTGTATCTAGCTCACCCATGGCTCTTCTCCCAAGCACTTGTGCCTCTGTCTGAGGATGCAGCATGGGAAGAAAGAAGAGAGTAGTCCTCATAATTCTGTGCTGAAACTATTCAAAAAATACAAAGAATATCTTACTTTTTTCTTTGTATAAAATACACTTTCATGAAAAATATTTTAGTTCAAAGCTGTAGAAAGAATTATGTGAAGCTGGGGAATCTGCAACCAGCACTCTCATTTTTTCAGAGAGTGTGATCACAAGAGATTCACAAGCATTTCTACACTTGACATTATCTGCATAATATAAAAAAAAAGTGAATATTCATGCATGTTTTCCATTCCCCAGAGTTTTTCAGCAATAAATGGTCTAGAAGGAGAAGAAAATTATGAAATATAAACATTTTTAAACTTACTGATAGATTTGTTTAAAGGAATTGATACAAAGTATTGCAACTAAAAAAAACCCCTTATAATTACAAAAAAACTAGAATTCACAGCTTAAGGTTACTTCTATATATATTCTGTTGCAATGTCTAGTTGACTAATGTGAAATAAGTTCCCAAAGTTTGAATGGAGTATTTGCTGTCTTTTAATATATACATTATTCATCACAGATATTCACAAAACACTTTGCACAGTATCATACAGGAGGTAAAAACTTATCTAGAAATTAGGGCTTTTTAGAAACATCTAAATTATTTACGTTATTGGCTTCCCAATAATTTCTGGCATCTGTTGTTCAAGTGAGTTATTTGAGAAGGTTTGGAGGGATAAATGGTGATGACTGTTCCCAGGTGAATCATTGCCTGCCCATCTCCTTGGCATTCCTCATAAAAGTGTCAAAAGGACCTTTTGGTATCCAACAGCTGCAGGAGGTCTCCTGCACTCAGCAAGGCACGCCCAAGTACACAGCACTTCTATGAGTTATTAGCAACTTTCAGATTTCTGTCAAACTAGATACAACTCAGAAGTTCTTTTTCCCATTTCATAAAATACATAAACCAAGAGGTTATTTCCACTACACTTTCATCAGGCAAATTTTTCCTCTTTGAAGATAGGAATGAATTAATGCAAAAACTATATAAATGTAGCTAGATTGGTGTAAACTAATCCTCC